CCAGCAGTGTATTCCCACTGTACCATGACTAACCCAGAAAGCCACATGACAAGCTCATTACCTGCCTGCCTAAGGGCGTGTGAGAAAAATGCACAAGAAAAACCCAGAATAGTAATCTTTGGTAAAAGAAAATATGAAACAATAAGAGTGGGTAATGTAAATTCTGACAAATTCATGTAGTCAGATGATGTATTTATAAAGTAGGGGAGAACAAATTTAGGTAATGAAAACGAAGTTCAAGTGATAGAATATTTCAGACTTTTCAAAGTATACTGTGAGGTAATGAAATGTGTAAAGATTTCGTTTTCTCTAATTGAAGAGACAGAGTTGGTAAACCTTATCACACATGGGACTCTGTAAACAAGGCCCTCCCTGTTCTCCCTACCCACTGCCAGGACAGGCCTGCAAAAGACCCTGAGGCTTGGAAGGATTTCTAACAATGTAAGAAAATTAGGATACAATGTTATGTGTTAAAAATCAGAATAATTAGTATGACTTATTTTTATAAAATTCCAATACCAAACTCACATATAATCACAGAGAAATGTCTGGAAAAGACATATTAAGATATTGATAATTATCTCTTTAGGATATTGATATTTTATTAGGCTTTTTTGTATTCCAAAATTATGGGGTTTTTTGGGGGGGGGGACAGAGTCCATTTTATCTCAGGCTGTCTTCAAATTCACTATATAGGACCCCCCTGCTTCCACCTTCCAAAGGTTGGGATTATAGGCACGTGCCACCAGGCCAAGTTTATTCTGTATTGAACCCAGGGCTTTGTGTGTGCTCAGCAAACACTGATAACTAGGACCTATCTCCAGTCCTAATGAATTATCTTTTTTTTTTTCTGTTTGGGGAATCAAACTCAGCCTCATGGATACAAGGTATGTACTCTATCAAATGAGCTACACCACAGCCCATGCCAAAAATTATCTTTCTTCTTATTCTTCTTCCTTTTAACACACACACACACACACACACACACACACACACACACACACACGTTCATTTAGCTCATAGCTTTGGATGTACATGGTTCAAAGAGCACAGTACAGTTAGAGCGAAGGCCCATCTTTAATGCAGCACTTTGTGGCAAGGTGCAGGTGGGTGTTCTTGGCCTCAAGTTTTCTTTAATGAACATACACCACGGTGATGGTGGGAAAAATAAAAGGGGTCTTCATTTCTTTCTGTCCTAATGTTCACCCCAACATTCAATTAGCATCAGTAGCTGAGACTCGTCCCTCTTGGGTCACATTTCCTAAGACTAAAGTCATAGATACATCGTCACGTTATAAGACCATACAATGTCTCCATTGTCACCATTATAGAAAAGGGCTCTGGTCTCGCCATGTGGTGAGCAGCAGTTGTATTTCCTTACATTAACCCTCACCTTTCTCCTGGTGCCCATAACAATTTGAGGGAGGGGGTGAAAGGAAAGGCATCCTGGGACAATTGTCCTCATTCTGCTTCTTGACCTGAGCCCTTGTTGCAAAGGTCTTGCCCCATGTTACCCTGTTGCTCTGCTTGACTTTTCTGTACCTGTCTTTTATTTTACCAATTTTTTTTTTAAATCATGCAGCATAAAACTCCAGGACTCCGGGATCCAGCTGAAGCTCACAGGTTGATTTTCACACACCACCCCCCTCTTTTTAGTTTCTTTCTCACTCTCCCCATAATTTCTGATCCTTTCTGAAATCCATTCTGAAATCCTATCCCCGTTCCCCAGGGGACCCTGTTGCTTCCCCTGCTTTCTGTCACAGACAGCTAACCTTCCCGTCCAGAGCTTCCATTTGCACATTCAACCAAGCACAGGTGGGAAGCATCTGGGGGAAAAACTGCATCCAAACTGCACACACAAACATTTCCTCTCATTGATATTCCCTCAACAATATGGAGCAGTGATTCACAGTGCTCTCACAACACATTAAGTATCAGAAGTAATCCAAGAAGGTTCAAGAGGCTGTGCTCTGCCTACATGCAAATTTCACTCCATTTTGCATAAGGGACCACCAGTATCCACAAGTTTGGGCATCCATGGTGGTGGTGGGGGAGGGGCATTACCTTGGAACCAATTCCCCAAGAATACAGACAGACAACTGTATTATGAGTTGGGATTAGAACTACATCCTAGTTTTATTGAAAATGGAGTCAGAGCTTTTGTTTTCCATTCCCTTTGCTTTGGTGGGGGGCAGGGGGAGAAAGGGGAAGAATTATCTTCACACCACATGTTAGAATCTTTAGAGCTCTGTCTTGGTTTTTAGTATAATCATTGGAAGATTTTGGGTCTCCCAGAGCCTCCAAGTTGTCTGCGATGAATATATATGCTGTTAAGGCAGTGGGCTTACTTATACACAGAGAAAGACATAAAAGGGCCAAAGGGAAGCACCTGCTCCTGCCTCGTCCTCACTTTCAGAACCAGCTGGGTAGAGAAAGCCTGCTTTTCTTTGAGATCTGACAGAGAATACTTCCTTGACAGGGCGTGTAAGAGAGAGATTGTAAGAGAGTGTGGTGGTTTATATATGCTTGGCCAAGGCAGTGGCACTATTAGGTGGTATGGCCTTGTTGGAGTAGGTGTGTCACTTGTAGGCATAGGTTTTAAGACCCTTGTCCTACCTATCTGAAAGCCCGTCTTCTCCTAGCTACCTTTGGAACGAGAGGTAGAACTCTCAGCTCCTCCAGCCCCACATCTGCCTAGATGCCGCCATGCTCCCACTTTGATTATAATGGACTAAACCTTTGAACCTGTAAGCCAGCCCCAATTGGATGCTGTCCTTTATAAGAAAGAGTTGCCTTGGCATGGTGTCTGTTCACAGCAGTAAAGCCCTAACTAAGACAATGGCTTTGGGGGTCCTTTGTTCTGGGCTGGGTATATTTGTTAAATAGCCTTTGCCAACCACTCTAGCTCCTCTGTCTGCAGTGTGGCCTCCTGTGTGTTCTGAGGATAGCCTCCTTATAAGAGAATTCACGTGTGTGTGTTACGTTCCCAAGAGTTTACCTTCGCAGTGACATCATTCCTAGCACTAGAAGTACATTTTGCCTGGTAATTCTCCATGACCACTACCCTTGACTTGGTCACACATGAGTGATACTTGTGAGGCAGACAGATGTACTGACCTTGGACTACTTTGAATTTTCATTAGTTAGCACTACCAGGCTCAGGGCAAGTGAAACTCCGGGATCTAAATGCCCCACAGCTCTGCTCCCCCCCACCCCAACCCTCCCCCCATCCCTAAGCTCTATGCTTATGTGACGGACAGGAACCATACAGGGAACCACAACCATAATGTTTTGAGAGCCACAAACATTCGGATTCCCCTTGGCCCAGGGGCATTGCCATTTGAACTGTCTGTGTGAACAGCAAAATTCCAGGAAGGCTCTGCCCCTCTTTCTTCCAGACACCTTCAAGCTTCAAGCACTTCTTCCTTTGGTCCCCAAGGCTATCTACCCTTCAGCCACAGAGAGTGCAGGCTTCCTAGCCTGCCTACCTTCCATTTTGCGGAGAATCTTATGAGAATTGATCTATCCAATTAAGCCAGGAAATTGTTCTCTAAATTTAACATGTCCATCAATCGTGTCCACAATGATCACGTTGATTTGGAGGGCTGAAGCTCTGAGGTGATTTTTATTTAATCCTGCACAAACTCCATTAGGCCTCACCCGCTCACAGGCATCATCTCTCAACTGGGTTTTGTTATACTCAGCTTCCAGCATATCTCATGAATCCTCTTCATCATGCCGCCGGCTGGATTCCCCATCTCCACACAGGAGCTGCTCAGGGCAGGCCCACACCTGATGTTGCCTTTGCTGTACCTTGTGGACTCAGCGGTGAACTCTGTTTACCCCCTACTCCAGCTTCTTCTCTGAAAGAGGAATGTGTGTGTGCGGTTCATGTGCATGAGCGCACACATGCACATAAACCCACACACAGAAGGATGGCCTCTGTTAAAGTCAAACTCCACTTGAGTCGTTTCCTCCATCTTGAGAAACCATCTGTTACCTCAGAGCATTGTGTTGATGGACTACACCATGCCAAGAGGGCCCACACACATATGCACAAAGACAGTTCCATTTGGAGACTGGATATCATCTTTAATTAATAATGCCACAGCTTAACATCCTTTTTGTTGCTGTAGCAGATGGTGTGTGTGTGTGTGTGTGTGTGTGTGTGTTCCTGAATACATGAGGGGCCTGCAAAGACTCTCAAGTAATTCTCAGCCAACAAATCTAGAGCAGCAACAGTCTCCATAGCATGGAGGCCAGACTCTGCCTCCTGTGGTCTAGAGTCTTCCTTCCTTCTGGGCCACCTTGGGAGCATTCTGAAGGAAAGGCTAAGACCTGTGCCAAGAGAACTGTGAAGGGCCTCTCAGCACAGTCTAGCCTCTGGTTCTCAGTCCTCACTGCCTCTTACCAGAGGGATGCCTCTGATCAAGATATAGACCGTCTGACAAAGGTGACCAACCTAGGTCAGCGCTGGTCCCGTGACACTTACAGAACAGCATCAGAGTGCTCCAAACCTGGGTCGAGATCTGAAACTTCTGGAACATTTGATGGGATATTTGATGAATTCCTTTCACTGATAACCTGGATGCAGCCAGGTATGGGGGATCAGTAAAAAGGGGCAGACCTAGCTGGTGGTGGCTGTTGGAAGTCATTTCCAACCCAAACCTAAGAGCCCACTCTCCTCCGTCTCTACTCTCCAAGTTCCTCACATACCCAGTAGGTCCACAGCTCAGACATGGCAGGGGAAAGTGATGGCGGGTCACAGGAGACCATGCGGCCTGGGCTGAGCTGGATCGGCAGCCATGTGCCAGACTGAAGCCAGCCCTCTCTCCCATGGTCAGTGATAGCCAGAGCTTTCTGAAGCCTGACAGGACCCCCACTGCCCAGGCAGCAAGTTCCCGGCCCAGCGCAGAGGGAAAACCAAAGTGGTTCTACGGTCCCGTTCCACTGTTCTCTGCCTTGGGAAGGCAAGGAGCCTGAGTCCCAGGAGGGTGGGATCAGCTGTTGGGGAAACAGCGCTGTCCAGGTGAGGCCTCAGGCCGGAAGCTGGGCTTGTTCAGTGGGCTGGGGTAGTAGGTGGTTGTATACACATTGGTCTGCTGCAGTGGGTAGAAGTTGGCTCTGTCATCAGGAATTAAGTTGTTCTTGTTCAGTGTCTATGGGAAGGAAAAGGAATCAGAGAAAAGCAATGAGGAAGGGGTCCTGGAGCCAGCCATTAAGGGAAAAGCTTAGCTTTGACATGATCCTCCATTATGTGACCACGAGAGCCAGGACCACAGTACCCATCACCCTGCCCTTTGCTTCACACAGAAGTTCCCACCTTGAATTCCATGGGGGTGTACTTCTCATTCTTGGGGGTGCCCCCGCCCTTGTAGTGTAAGTGGTTAGGCGTGGCAGGATGGACAAGCGTGGACTCCTGAGACTGGCGTTGGCAGTGCTGGCAAGACAGGTACACTGCCAAGGTCAAGAGCCCAGATCCCAGGAAGCAGGACACACCAGTGACTATCAGGTGGATGAGACTGAACCCTGGAGGAAGAGAAGCAGGTAGTGAGAAAGGCAGCCTTCTGATTGTCTTCCGGGGACAGTGACAGCTTCAGGAGGTTTCAGAACACGGAAAAAGGAAAGAGCTTAGGATCCAGAAGGAAAGGAAAGAGAGAGGTTGGGGAGGTTGTCTCCAGGGCCTTCTCTCCCAGGATAGCCCATAGGTGCAGTTGGACAGCAGAAAGCTTGGAGGTAGAGGACTTTCTTGGACGCAGACTGATGCATCCTAGCCTAGGAGGGAACCGTGCAGTCCTCTGATGGAGGGAACTGTGCAGTCCTCCAACCTTGAAGCCACATGGGGACCTTCCCAGGCTTAGCTGTCTGTAGAATTGGGAAGAATTCAGATTGGAGTGGTGGCCGAGAGACTGAGGGTAGGGACACGAGTGACTCTTTTTACCTGCACAGCTGGCGGTCTCCTCCACACTGGAAGCAGGTAGGATGACTGCAGAGAGACAGATGGAGAAGGTTAGAATAGAGTGAGCAGGAAGGACTCCTGTCTGGGCTGGTCGTCATCTAAGAAAGAGAACCTATAGGTCAGTGACTTTAGGCCCTTCATTCCTTCTGACTTCTCTATAGATGGCCCCACTTCTCTGGATGGCCCATTGTGTAGGTGTGTAGTGTGAGTATCCCGAATATGAGACAAATGTATCATTTCTGATGCTTCATCCTGTTCTCGGATCTCAGCTCTGGAGTGTGTGTGATGGTGACCAAGGGGTGCATGACAGGTCAGTTCTAGCAAAAGGACTTACCAGGAATCTCACTGTAGGGGCAGGGCCGGCTCTGGCTGCTGTTGCCAACACAGGCACCTGGCCCTGGGACAAGCTCCTCACAGCTCCGGCTCCGGCTCTGGGCCCCATCCTCCGTACAGACACCCCAGTCAGACCACAGTGACCAGCCTTCTGTGGATTGCAGGTTGAGATGAGGTTGGATGTCTCAGGATCTTCCTGTTGAGGCTTAGCAGGGCAATAGCTTTCCCCAACCCCAGTCAGATGTACCCAGTACCTGGGCAGGCCTGTGTAGCACATAGGGCCTCCTCCGTGTGCAGGCCGAGGCAGATGTCCTCACCTGGGGACGGGGCGGGGTTGGTGCAGGAACGGGTGCGTTGATAGTGGCCACCGCCGCAGGATGCGGAGCACTGGGACCACGCAGTCCAGCAGGACCAGGCACCCCGCACTGTAAGCGTGGGTTGGGTGTGAGAGGGAGGCTGTCCTGGGTTTCCCCTCAACATCCACCTCACCCAAATTCAACAGGTCACAGTATTAAGGGGTGTCCTCCAAAACCCCATATCAGTCCCATCTTAAATCAAGCTCCCTATTTAGCTGGCTCAGTAGGGAAAGAAAAGGCAAGGCAGTAATGAAGAAAGATCTCGCTCCTGCTCCATCCCAGTTGTCACCGAGTCAATGGTGAGAGCAGAAGCCAGATCTTACTGAGTTCAAGCTATTCTAGACAGCGAGTTTCAGGGATACTGAGACCCTGTCTTTAAAACAAAAACAAAACAAACAAACAAACAAAAAAAGGATCCTTGGACTCTTTGCAGAATTAATTTCCAGAAAGAGGAGATCATCTTCCCAGGCTTGAGAGTTCCTGTGGACCGGGTTGCCCCAGGCTAAGGTTTCCTTCCACAACCTAACCTGGGCAAGCCTGCGGGTTGCAGTCTTGATACTCCGCAGCGTCTCCCACGCAGGGCAAGCCCCCGTTGCGGGGCTCCGGGTTGGTACAAGTTCTCTTGCGGACGCGGAAGCCCAGCTCGCAGTCCCGGGAGCAGGATGACCACGTACCCCAGGCGGCCCAGCCTCCGTTCAGAATGTGCGGGGACGTGCTCCCGCTGCGCAGGAGATCCTCCACCAGGGCTGCAGAGGGCCGCGGGCTCAGCGACCCTGACATTGGGCTTCCCCCTCCGCCCCAGGCCTCCCCGGCTCCCGCCCTCCCCACCTCTCCTGGCTGTACCGTCGGTGTCACAGGCTCCGGTGCCGTCGGCCGGGCAGGTCCTGGTCTCCGTCCTCCTCTTGCCGAACTGCAGACCGTGCGGGTCCGGCAGCGGCGCGCGGCAGGTGAAGCGGAATCTCTGCTCCTGGCGCGCACCACCCTGGGTCACGTTCACCGGCAGCCAGGGCGTCCAGGGGGTGTTGCGTCGCACTTCCGGGCAGGCCTCAGGGTTGCAAGTCTTGAACTCCTTCGGGGTGAGAGTGGTTTCAGACCCTCCCCTCGGCCTGTAGGTCTCCCCGCACCCCGCGCCCCAGCTCCACGCCCTCACCAAGCCACAACCCGGACACGAGTTGCCATTCTCGCAAGAACGACGGCGCGACTGCACGCCGCCTCCACAGTTGCTGCTGCACTTGCTCCAGGACCCCCAGGAAGCCCAGAAGATGGGCACCGGGCAAGGCGTGTTTTCATTACAGAACCTGGGGAGAAGGGGAGGCATGTCATCCTAAGGAGAGACGCTGCCATCCCAGCTCCAGAATCCAGGCTGGAGGATGCCCGGATGGATCCTGCATCCCAGTGCCAGCATCCCTGCAAGCGCAGCTAGCTCACCGCTCTTCCCGGCTCTTGCCCACGCAGATGCGACCCCCGTGGCGGGGCGCCGGGTTGCTGCAACTTCGCTGACGGACCTGGAAGCCGATCCCACAGGACGTGCTGCACTGAGCCCACGATGACCATGTGGTCCACGCCCCATTCCTGGTGGAGTGGGAGGGGACAGAGACACATGCCCCTCTGAGCCCCAGCTTCTTAGATCTGGGCTGCATCTGAGGCAGATGGATTTTGTATTGTTGTCAGGACTGGCGAGACAGTGACAGAAAATATCAGCTCCTAACCAGGCTGGCTCAGGCAGATTCGTGCATTCATCCGTTTGCTCATTCATGCCTCAAATATGTATTGAGAGCCTTCTTCCATATATCAGGCTGTGCTCAGGGCCAAGGACACAGTGATAGGGCCGGGCCCCTACACAGACAGGCAAAAGGACACACTCTTTAGAGGTCTCAGTTACCATTCCAACCGGAAACCTTCTTTCCCCCTTCTCAGATACCCACGTCTCTTAGTCCTCACTCTCCTTCCTCCCTTCTCCCCTGCACTCTCTTTCCCTAGCCTCAGACATTCATGCCCAAGTTGACTGAAGGGATCAAAGTTAGACTTTCTGCTTACTGTTACCCTTGTCCTTAAAATGAGACTAATGGCTGAATTCCAACCCTTGAGGTTGCTGTGAGGGTTAAATTAGGGACTGTAGATAAAATATTTATTTGAAGAGTTTCTAAAACCATGGGTTAGTTGTGATAATAACTATTTTCCACAGTTCCCAAGAACCAGGCAGTACAGTTATTTCTTTAAAGGCATTATCTCTTAACCTTCACAGCAACTCTCAGGGGTATCGTAGTTACTTAAGAGAGTAGCTAGAGAGCTGGCCAAGGCCATGCCTCTAGATAGTGCAGCCTGGGTCATCATCTCACGCTGTCCCTCAAGTTTGGAACATTCAAGCTTATTGCAGCTAGCTTTTGGCAGCAACTCCCATGCCTGTCCAGTCTTTCTCTTTGCATTTCCTCCCACGAGGCAGAGACGCTTCTTCCACTGATGTGAAAACTCTCCTAATGCTTGTATTTCCTGTCTCAGACGTTAGCTTCCTGTCCAGTCCCCGGCACTTCACTGAAGTGTAAACACCTGGGTGAGATGCCCCATTTCCCCAATTCTCTCTGTACGAGTCCTAAACAGACGCCATACAAAACCTGTCCTCACCTACCTGGAGCAATTGGCGATATGGATAGCTGGCCCTAGGCAGTCGAGGCCGCCACAGCGAGGCCTTGGGGAGTCACAGGATCTGGCCCGGCACAGGCAAGAACCCGAGTTGTCTCCATCTAAGTGCTCACACGGTTTCCATGGTGACCATGGGCCGAAGCCCCCATCCCGTGTCACATTTCGTACCTGCAGACTCAAATAAGGGGGCAAGACTCTAGTCACACAAGGCAGAGACAGCGGAGGGATGAAATCCCGGGGCCCGCGGAGCACACACTGATGGGGAGTCATAGCTGGCACTGAGGGGAAGGGGAAGGAGCGGGCGCACAAGGGTTCTCACAGGACAAGCTGTGATGTTCTGGATCCACAGGCTCATGTTGGAGCTGTCCTCAAGCGTGCTGCAAAGTTGCCGCTTCCCGTCCCAGCCGCAGTAGGGGTCCCGTGCTCCCAGGCATGCCCTGCCAGATAGAGGTCCTGAGCCTCAAGCTCACTGGCTTCCCAGGCTCAGCTTTGTCCCTAGAAAGTACCTGAACAACCCCCCTGTGGGCACCTCTTTTTATCCTGATTTTCTTCTATGAAAAGGATTAAGTTCAAAGTTGGGGATTTAGCTCAGTGGTGGAGCGCTTGCTCAGCAAGCTCAAGGCCCTAGGTTCCACATCCAGCTCCGGAAAGATGAAAGAGGAAACAATTTAGCTTCACGGTGCGCTTGCTGTGTGACTGGTATCCTTTAGAGCACTTTCCAAGGCACGAATGAGTTCAATAAAATAACCCAGTGAGGTAAGCCTGCTGCTGTTCTAGGCAGGAAGAACCCAGAGAGTTCAGCAAGAACTTTCTTTCCCTAGAGGTGGTAGGTCCCATTACTCCTCACCTGGGACCACTGGAGGAGGTGCGATTTGCAGAGGTCCTTTCCTGTCAGACCCTCAGAAAGTTGTTCTTAAGATTGGCTCATATGAAAACCCCCTGAGGAGCTTGCAGAAACAGTTGTACCCGAGTTCTCCCCAACATGAGTCTCTGTGGTAGAGTGGTTCTGAAAGCCTCAGGACCATGCCCAAGTTGTAAAGGAGGATGCTGTTTTGAGCCACTAGGATGGCCAGGTCTTTGCACAGAACAAAGAAGAGGAGAGAGGAGGTTCCCAGTGATCACAGAAACTTTGTGGAACTGGAGCCAGCCCTAGGCTTCCCAATGGTCCTCTCCTTCCATTCCATCCACTCAGCCTTCCCACTGAACTCCACACCATGACTGGATGTGGACCCATTTTTCAAAACACAGGATACCTGAAAACAGTCCAGTGTCACGTGTAGTTTTGTGATGCTTGAGCCGTTTGGGGGAAGAAAGAAGCAGCTAGCATTTTAGCATTGGGAGAATGAGCTGAGCTGCTAGTCGATGGTGCTATTCCACCCACCCTCCCCGGGCCTCAGAGCTAGCCTTCCTGCAATGTCCAGAAAGACAGTGCTTCACACCCCAGTGCATGCCCCAGATGCCAGACTTACATCCCAGGTCTCCTTTCTTCCTTTCCTTCTGAGTTACTCAGGGAACATGGCCCTTTTTAATAAGAAAGTTAAATCTCTGCTAGTAGGACTTCAAGGAGGAAAAAACAGTTCTGTGAGGATTATGGAGTCAGGATTTGCTGTTCACTGTTGACTAAAGAGAGTACTAGACCATGGAGGACTAAGGAAGGGGCCCTCCAGCCCCACAGTGAATCCGCTGCCACTCTAGGGCACACTTGATCCCCTTGCTGCTTCCCAAGCTTTTACCCTGTTCTGTTCCACTAGGAAGAGTTGGGAGAACACACGGAAAGGGACCCCAAAAATGGAGGTGAGGAGTCAGGAGAGGTCTTAAGAAGGAACAGAGGCAGTAAGAGGATGGGTGGGTGAGTTCACAGCATCGTGCATGCTTACAAAAGGATTTTCCCAGTGGCCAAAGGGGCTAAGAATGCTGAGAGCCAAAGGGATACACACAGGAGCCAAGAGCTTGTAGCTTTTGGTGTCCCTGGGATGGAATTCTTTTTTTCTCTTGAAGCTTCACGGACAGTCATTTGTTAGCCATGGTTTAACTGATTGACTAATTACTTAGTTAATTAATAGATAAGGTCTCACTCTACTATCCAGGCTGGCTCGGAGCTTACTATGTAGCCTAGGCTGGCCTCAAACTCACAGTGAGCCTTTCTTAGACTCTCAAGTGTTTGGATTGGTTGCATAAGACACCATGCCAGGCTCCTTCAAGTTCTTCACATTTAGTGAGTTCAGTAGGTCATGTCAAGCATCAGGGGGAGAAGGAGGCCATGTGAGAGTCATGCAAAGAAGACAGAAGAGGAAAGGACTGAAGAAGGCACTGATATCCCCTCTTCCAGGATGACCCACAATCTTGTATAATTCAGGTGGTGTTATGGGCATCTGTGGAAGAGGCCTTGGTTGGACCCCACTGAGCACACTGTGGCCTTCCTGGGAATCCACAGTACTCCCATGTCTGTGGCTAGTGAATCTGGTTCTTCTTTACTCACTTGAAGACAGCATTTACACATTTTATACCATAAGCATACTTGTATCAAATCAAACCATCAGTTTGATTTCAGGATTTTTTTTTTTCACCAGCAGAATCTACCAAACTGGACATTGTGGGGTTCAAAATAACCCAAGTGCACCAGGAATACCGGCAACCTATGGCTTTGAGACAATGTCCACAAACTCAGAGTTGGCTCAAGAAGAAGAAAATTCAACCAGTCAGAACTCAATAGAGCCAGGATGTAGATGATGACAATTAAGATTCTTTGTGTGTGTGGGGCATGCACACTCGCAAGTGGGAGCTGGAGGACAACCTTGGGTGTCACTTATCCACCTCCTTTACAACATGGCCTCTCACTGGGCTGTAGAGCTCACCAATTAAGCTGCATTGCTGGCTACCGAGCCCCGGGATCCCCCAATCTCCACCTCAATGACAGGACTACATGTGGGAGCCACCACACCAGGCATTTTTATGTGGGTGATGGATGTTGAGCTTAGGTTCTCATGTTTGCAAGACAAGTGCTTTGCTGATAAACACCCTCAAAACCCCAAAATAAGATTATACTCAACAAAAACAAATGTGTGCTAGCAGAGAGAGTGCTAAGGATGGACAGTTTGAGCCAGCTCATGGAAGACTAAAGCAGAAGATTCTGGAGGAACCCAGTGTGCCTCACGTTACTGTTTCCCCCAGAGCCTTGCTGGGTCTAAAGCAGTAGCTTCCCGTATTGAGTGCAAATCCTAACTTGCAAGGCATCTTTTGAAATGCTTAAGCAAACAAAACAAAACTTCTCCCAGCATTTGGACCTCTGGAACTAGAAGTCCAGGAAGTCTAGAAGTCCTGGCTTTAGAATCTTTAAGCTCTGGCGAATAACTATGGTTGAAAACTTCTTCTGTCCCACAGTCATGTTTGTTAAAGTCCCAAGTCAAGTGGAATCTTGTTTCCCCCACCTCCAGTCCTGACAGAATAGAGACACAGGAGAAAGAGTAGAAACTGGCCCTGCTTTTCTTGCCCCAGGTCCTCTCACATTCTCTGCTTTTCCAGTTAAGATTTAGAGAGAAAAAGAAGAACAGGAGAAGGAGGAAGAGGAGGAGGAAGAAGAAGAGGAGAAGAAGGGAGAAGAGGAGGGGGAGGGGAAGGGGAGTCGGAGGAGGGGGAGTTGGCCAGATTCTCTACCCTGACCTGACGGTCTGAGAGGCATTTGAGACTCTCTTCTCCAGGGCCTCCTCCTGCTGCAGCTAGTAACTAAAGGGGCTCCTCAGGTGAGTCCACACTGCCTTTGGGCTAATGGGCACTTCGAAGCTGACAGAATAAGGGCTGTGCTTTAGAAAATGAAAGCTCTATGCTAAAGAGCATGAGAGTGCCAGTTACTATAGAAAGCGGTAGAAATTTAGAGTTCTTCCATGAAAGGAGCCATCAGGTCAATAATACATCACTGTGCCTTTTTTTTTTTTTTTTTTGAAACTGTAGCATCTCAAGCGGCTGTTACAAAAGGAAGCAGGTTTATTCCACAGGCTCACAAGTAGGACAGAGATGGATGGAGGGCATTGTAAACTAGAGGATCCTAGCTCCCTGAAGTCATTAGGGGGTGGGTGGAGCTGTCCAGGGTAGAAACAGCATCATGGGGCTTTTGAGAGCATGAGAATTACTTAAGACTGCCCAGAACAAGGATCTGGTTGGAAAGAGATGCTGGTGAGCCTGGGCCTAACCCTGGACTCATGGGAGTGGGGTGCAGAGGATATCTGTGAGTGAGTTAGGGTTGAGGGGAAAGGTCTACCGGAAGAAGGAAAGGTCAGACTCGTGCATTGAGCATCTTGGCTCTTAGCTCCTCTCTGGCCAAGCCAGAGTATTGGATAGACACTGTGGAACTGAGATTGCTCTAATTAAAAGAGGTAGAGGCAAGCTCCTGGATGCTGCGCAGAGGAGGAGGCTGGTGGTGTCTCTGCTTACCCACTTTGATCTTCCTGCCAACTTTGGAAGGAACGGGGACAAACATGAAACGCCTAGACTGTAACGAAGCCTCCCCCATCCCAACAGCACTAATTCTGACGGCTGTGGTTGCCGCTTGGCTCCCTGACAAGCTTGTTAGCTGCACACCCTTGCTTCTCTCATTTTATTAACCTTATGATAATATGATTATTCCTAGGTGTTAGACCTAGCTATTATTTTAAGTTGCATTTATTTATTTATTTATTTATTTATTTATTTATTTATTTAATGTAGGGGGCAGGCATGCTCTTGTCCTGGTACATGGTAGCGGGTCCCCACCTGTGGCTTTGTGAACAGCATTTTTACTGAACGCTTCAGTAGCTTATAAACCAAACTCAGGAAACAAGACTCCAAGTTGACCTTCTGCCACCTTGCAGAATGGCAGCATACCGAAGACACTCTTAAGGACCCCTCGCTGTCCTCTCACCCCACTGCAGATCCATGGCTTTGCAGTAGAATGGAGCCACACTAACCCACCACAGATGTCCATCTGCCTCCTGACAAAGCTACTGCTGGCTGCACTCTGATCTGCCCTATAGAGCATCTGTCTGGATAGTCTGAGACTCTAACCCTTTGCTCCACCACCATGATTCAGGACAAAATCCTCCTTTGGCCTTCTCAGCTGGCCTCAGTCCACTCTCTGGGCCCATTCCCTGTGCCTCTCCTGCACCAGCCTCGTAGGCCAAACAGCTGAAGCATCATCCCCAGGGTGGAAGGTCACCCTGTGCTGGGCAGGGCTGAGTAGTGAAGTACCAAAAAATACTGGGCCACTGGGTTTTCTATTAGGGATTTATAACCTCTTGGAGCATAAGGTGTGTTAAAAGTTTAATAGCAATGCAAGTGTTTAAAGAGACCGCAGAAACAAGGAAAACACTATCAGCAGGTAGCCACTACTTTCTGGCCAAACAGCTGTCTGTAGTTGGTGTCATAGACTCAGACGCCAGAGAGCCCAGGAGTCTGGAGCCTCCTAAAAGCAACTGCAAAGACGAAAAGGAATAAAGATACTATCTGCCCTTTATGACTTGTAAGCCTAGGCCCATCATGAGTACCAGGCCTGACCTTTACACTTCTGCCAAAACTAGACATCCCTATGCCAAATCCCCCAGTCCCTGGCAAAAGAACTGAAGCTCAAAATGGTCACAAAGTCTGCTTAAGACCATGCAGCTCAGGAGAGTGGAGCCGAGGCGGGGTCCCACGCATGTCTAATTCTATCTATATCCCAAGACACCCTTCTGCCTTTCCCACACAGCAGATCCAGGCCAGGGTTTCTCTCTTCCCTAACTCGATTTGCAGTGTGGAGGGCTGTAGTTATGGAGGCCCACACCACACGCCTCCTCTCTGCAAGGTACCCTGTGCACAGCAGGGCTTTGTAAACGTGTGCCGCTTTGACAAAACCATGTGTGGAGGCCGAGAGAGGCTCTAGTGACTGTCCATCATTAGCAGCCTCCAACACCTATCCATCTTTCCTCCTTTCCTGTCCGCAGGCCTCCATCCAAGCCCCTGGTGCTCTCAGAGAGCAAGCGTTGGCAGCATGGAGCCCATTTGCCTCCCAAATCCCAAGGACAGATGGCACAGCCAGGAGGACTCTGTTGCAAAGGCTACGGAGTTCATGTGGCTGTTCTGATGATCATACAGACAGGACAGCCTCAACGGCTGGGAGTTTGGGACACAGTTCCATTTGGCCTTGGCTTCTCCCCTTAAATACTGGGGTCATTGCTGCCAAATTTGTGACTCTGTTTAAAGTCTATGGACCGAAAGCAATGAGATATTGTAGTTCTTCAACCTGGCTCCCTTATCTGGTTGGTTTGCCTCCAAGGAAGGTGAAGAGTTGGGAGCTGACCCCCCACTGCCCCACATCTGGGTAAGAAGTGCTGTGGTTTCAAAGGCAATGGTCTCTCTCGGAACTAAAGGGCCTGAGAATCAATCAGGTGAGCTAGAGATGGTTGGCAGGGCAGAACTCTAGGGTTGCCCACAAAAATAACAGCCACCACAATTCACTAAGTACATGGCTCCCCTGGGCAGTGGTAAGTGCTGATTAACAATTATAAAACCCTTCCAAGATGTTTCAGGCTCAGGAAACCAGTGTTTGCAGAGGTTAAATGACTTATCCAAAGGCACCACCCAACTGGAAAATAGAGGATACGAGGGAAAGTGGCTCTGACTTCAAAGCCACACCACTCAAATACCACCTCTGAAGCATGGTTGGCGGAATAGCCACCACCCCCACAGACCGATAGGCCCTCTTCCTGCCCTCTTGCCTCAGCTTACCCCTGGCTACGGTAGGTTGAGCACCTCTCCAGCGGGACCCGCAGAACCCGGTCGCTCAAGCCCACGAAGAGCGCACGCGCGCTGTGCAAGATGCGCAGGCTCCGCAGAGGTTCAAGGCGCCCAGGGGGCAGCACATGCAGCTCCTCCAGGTAGCAACCACGCAGGCTGCGGCTGGCTGTAGACAGCGCTTTCAGGATGGTACCTGACTCTGGGGGAGGGGGAGATGGCAGAAAAAGCAGCCTTGAAGCCATGGCTGCTTACAGCCTCTTCCCTTCCCAGCCTCAACCGCTTTTCCATCTGCAGCGCAGTCAAGTCCAGGCAAGGCTCACCCGTGCCTATGTAGAGTACATGGTAGAGCGTGTCCTTAGCTTGCACAAGGTCTACTACGAGATGTGAGAAGCGGACGCTGTCCTGGGTGACACAGGGCTCTGGTGACACCGGCTGCACAGCTTCGCTCATCAGGAAGAGCCGCTGTGCATCCTGCAGGCTGCGTTCCGTTAGGTTCTCGTTGGGACCTGTCTCCAGCAGGGTACCACACTGCCACAGGAAACCGAGTCACTGGTTCCCAGTCCCCACACTGCGGGAACTGCCATGGTCTCCTTCCCACCCATGGGGACTTTGGGTTTTCACAAATTCTCCAACATCCCCGGTCCCCAGCATTCTATCTGGGTCCCTGAATCTCTTCTAGGAAAGGATGAATCTTTTTAAAACTAGGAGAACCATGAAGGCTGGACGCCCTGTGTGGGGGAATTCGAGGGTGGGGAGGTGGGGGGGTAGGTGGGGGCACATCCTCATAGAAGCAGGAGGAGGGGGGATGGGATAGGGGATTCCTGGGCGGGACGGGGGAATGGGGTAAGGGGATAACATCTGAAATGTAATGAAATATTCAATAAAAATCCCAATGAATAAATAAATAAATAAATAAATAAATAAAACTAGGAGAAACTGAGGCTGGGAAGATGGAGGAGGAGAGACCTACTAGGATTGGGAAAGAGAATAGGAGAGCTTAGGGAAGAGAAAGGAAGGCAAAGGGGTCTGGTCCAGACAGGTCATTTGAATGTGTCCAGTGTCCAGTAATTTGAGGCTGCTTCATAGGTGCCCACTTCCACAGTGGGCCAAGTTGTTTTGTTTTTTTCTACACCCTTACCAGCTCCAAGTTTGTGCCTTCTAGTCTAAAGCTGGAGGACAGGCACCTTTTATTGGGCATCACAACAATCTTTGCACAAATCCAGAAGGGATCTAGTCTAGTATGGTATGACGTAGTATAGTCCTGTCCTTCATTCCAAAAAATGAGTAAGAGGACCAAGGGAGTTGGGTGAGTTGCCCAACATCACAGAGATTGGTTGGATGTGGCTCAGAATTGCTGGACTGACCAGCCTGAGCCTTTCCCAAGGCCACATCACCCCTGGAGCAGGTAGGAAGGATATAAAAGTCAGCCATCTAGGCTGGGCATGGTGCCCTAACCTTCAATCTCAGCTTTCAGGAGGTAGATACAAGAGGATTCTGTGAGTTCAGAGCCAGCCTGGTCTACAAAGTGAGTTCCAGGTCAGCCAGGGCAAGACAGTGAGACCTTCCTCAAAAATGAATGAATGAATGAATGAATGAATGAATGAGTCTGCTATCAGTCCTTTTATGCTTTCCTTCACATCACAGGATGGGGGATACAAGTACTACTCGTGATACCTGTAACTACTGCCTGCATTCAGGGTTCCTACAGGCATTAGCTCTCACACTGCACATAGTCTGAATGATCCCCAGATAAAATATCCAAAGTTTGGCCACAATTTACCTGTGTAGTGTTCTCCTGGCCTCTCCTACTTTGTATAGTTGAGGTCCTATCTCTCTGGGCATGTGGGTTCAATTACAGAAATAGCCAAGTAGGTTCTCTAGCTCTGCTTCTCCCCTATCTCCTCAATAGCAGTCTGAGGATTTACCACCCTCTGGGGGATCTATCATAGACCCCCCAAAGACAAGCCTAGACCAACAGGAACAGGCTAGAGTTAGCCTGTGCTGAGCGGTTGAGTGTCCGCTTGTGCGTTGGTAGTGAGTGGGGGACAAAGGAAGAGAAGCTGTACCTGGAAGTTGGGGATGGGGTTGGTAATTGGGAGCCAGGTAGCCCTGGGGTTTTCCTGGTAACGAAATGGGCCGTTGAAAGCCTTGGAGATGGCACTGAGGTTGAAGGCGCAGACAGCAGAAGCTGCAATGCTGTTCCTAAAAGGGAAGAGTTGGAGGAATGTAGTCCTTCCGGATTTGGCCTTCCTGGGCCAGACACCTCCTCTGAAGCTCCCCAGCACACCCCCACTCCTTATTCCTTAGGTCAGGAAGTGGCTAGGAGGAACCTCTGCACAACGAAGGGTATTTATCCTCACACTCTCCCACTCCACTGCAGAAAGATCTCACTGGCAAGAAGCACTGGAGCATCACTCCCCCATACACACACCCCATGCCACTACCTCACCCTCTTCCCTTGTTCAAAGAGGGATGGAACACACTCAATGGCCCACATTAAGAAATACATTTGAGGGCTGGAGAGATGCTTCAGCCGTTAAAGGCTAGGCTCACAACCAAAGACAAGGAAAAAACAACAACAAAACATTTTACACTACATTGAATTTTTATGAAACAATACTACACCAGCTAAATATGTTATACTTTTGATATTTGATTTCAATCTATTCTGATGTATGCATATATGTAGTAAATAGATAGTCAGCAAATCACTGGCTTATGCTGTGGTCTGCAACTCCCTGAACAAGAAGATCTCTACGACCCTTCCAGGTCCAGAGGACTCTACGGATGTCGAATGAGCAGCTCACAGGCTCAGCATTGTCACACCCACCTGTACACTCTGAGTCCCTGCATTGGTTCTTCTCCAAATGTGTCCATTATCCCCTCCCTCTGCCTGGTTCCAGCTCCACCCCCACCTGGTTCTAGCTCCCCCCCCCCAGTACCCCTGGATGCTCTCTGTCCTTCTGTTGGTCTCTCAACAGCCTGGATAGGCTCCTAATCCACTCCGCACAAAGCAGCCAGAGTGAAAGTCCCCAAACTCACACCACGCTGCTCACTGGTCTTTTGTCAAATCCCTCCGTAATGTCTCCTTGTCCGCAAGGGTAAAGACCAAGAGCAGTGTACAAGGTCCTCGGAACACAACCCTCCCAGCCTTATGACTTAGTGTCTCTCCTGTCTCTCCTTTCCTTGCTCCAAGGCTTCTATCATACTGCTTTAAAATGTATGGGACATTTTAAATGATGTTTTAAATGTGCATCAGTGTCTTGCCTGCGTGTATACGAGGATACCAAATCACTTGGAGTTGAATTACAGACAGCTGTGAGCTGCTATGTGGGTGCTGGGAATCGAACCCAGGTCCTTTGGAAGAACAGCTAGTGTTCTTAACCCTTGAACCATCTCTCCAGCCCCAGAGCATTTCTTTAAAAAAAAAAAAATTCTAAGCTTTGCACAAGTTATTGCATGGGGGCTGGAATGTATTTCAGATCCCAGGAATGCCACTTCCTATGGGAAGGCTCCTGTGATCTTCACCCTATACCTTGCTTTCTCCCTTTGTAAGAGTTGCCAAGGTTAAAATGGGTTGCTTAAAATAGCCTTACCCACTCTAGACTGTCAACCCCTCTTAAAGGCAAATCAGTGAATGCTTTTGCTCACTGCTGTCCACTCCCACCCCAGAACAAGCACCTGACATGGAGGGGTTACACAGTAAATAAATGGTTCATAGTCTACATTGATATTGTCATTTTTCCTTGATGTCTTTCCAGGTCTTACTGCCCTCTACTCACAGACAACCACTACAACCCTCCTACACTGAGAGCTAGACACCCTTCGTCATGGCCAGCAGGCTTTCAGCCCATGGCCTGTGTGAGCTGTGTTGAATGTCTGTCCCCTGGCCAGGATGACCTCTCTGCTGCTACTGGCCAGTCTCACACCCACATCTCTGCCTGTCCTCTCAGAATGTCCTTTCTGTAGATGATTTGGGAGCATCCATTGCCTGCTACCTGGAATCACTCACAAGCTCCTGCTGTCCTTACACAATGCACAGCACAGCATTCCCCACCGCAAAGGCCTTCCACAGTCTCAACGGTGCCCATTCATCACTTCTAACATGAAAAAAACCCTTGATTTGTTCTCCTCTACATGGAGGGGCAGTGGAGGAGAGTCTGCCATCCCTGGGAAGGTTGCTCGTCCTCATATGGAAGGAAACAACAGGGCTGCCAAATGCCAGTTTGCAGGTTCTGCTCTAGCAGGGAGGGAGGTCGCAGAGGATTCCCATAATGCTGCTGCACTTAGGCGGGAAGGGGCCATAGAGCATCCCTGCTGAGGGCCGCCACCCATTCATTTCAGGCAGGATGTTCTGTCCTTTATGAGCCATCAGGCATCTCCCCTTCCCTTCTGCACAGCCTGGGCCTGCCCTTCCCAGCAACTTGGAGCAGGCGTTTGCCACTCCAGAGGTGGTAAGCCACAGATGACCAGCTGCAGGAGCAAGGAGATCTGTGCTTTAAGGAAGAAAACAACAGACTCTGAGAAAAGATCTGCTGAGCCCACCAGGCAGCCAGGCGAGGCAGGGCCACTCACACATTGGTGGTGAAGACGCCATAGACGAGGTCCTGCTCAGGCAGATGGAAGGCACTCTGCAGCTCGTTATAGTAGAAGGGGACCTCTCCTGGGCGGGAGCAGTTGAGCCGGGCCTTCATGAATGTGGTCCATGTGTCCTCCAGCAGGAAACGACCACCTACATCATTCTTGCACACCCGGGCCACCCGAGAGTACACAGTGCGCCCACAATCGTGCTCCACTGCATTCTCCCGAAGGAAGAAATACGCAAACAGCCCGATGTCAAAGGCTGCCACAAAATTGGGCTCTGTGAGGATGGAAAGAAGGCGGCTGACTAGGAAGGACTCAACTGTTTAAGTGTTCTTCGGTGGGAATCTTAAATCCCTCCTTGCTGACCTGGGCTCTAAGTAAGCTTACTCTTGCTTCCACTGTAAAACGAAGCTCTCACATGCATTAATAGTGATATTCCTGCTAACAGTGTTACTTCACTGGATAGAATACACTATCATAAGAGCTTTATTGGTTCACCCATTTAACCCTCACTGTACTTTATAAGGCAAGCCCTATGACTACTGTCTATTACAGATGAGAACACCATGCTACACAGAGGCTCAGCACATGCCGAAGGCCATACGAGTTAGTAAAGAAATGGATTCATCTTCAAGGGGTAGGAAGTTCATACTGTCTTCCTCAGTTTCCCCCTAATTTCTTCTTTTCCATAGCCACAACAATATGAAATTTCAACTCTCTCCTCTAATAGCCTACCCTGTGTTTGCTCTGGGTTCTAAGGACATCTGGGGCCCAGCTCCAGGTCTTTGGGCACACACCTTCCCTGCCCTATCTACTTTATTGACAAAGCAACTGAGTCTGGAAAGGCCAACGGGCTTTGGAAGGCAGGACATCCCCGCTCCAGGCCTGGGCCACCTTACCGTTGAGCCATTTGGAGTTATACTGGGCAGTGCGAAGTGGCGGCCCACTCCCCAGGCTGCGGTAGATGGCTGGGTCCCGACCGGAGAAGTCAATGACAGTGGCTGCATAGAGCTCCCCCTGGGAGGAGATGACGGCTGTAGAGTTGTGGCGTGGGTCATAGGGGCAGCGGGCCACACCATTGATCTTCTCAATAGTCCGGCTGAGGTTCCCCACCTGGAGATGGTGGAAGAAGAGAGCTTCCCTGAGGTTCTGGGGCCATCTGGGATTTCCAACTTTGAGTTGTTTCCTCTGGGACCCTTGGTTTCTGTGCCCCACCTCCTATTCTCAAGTACTCCAAGCACTGGCACACTGTGATCTCATGGTTATTACAAAGGATGAGATCCTTCAAGTCCCCTGAACTCCAGATGGACATTTCGAGTAAGACCGATGAAGAAAATACTGAAGAGAGGTTCAATTTGAAATTCGGATGAAGAATGAATTGTTTTATGTTTGTCCCAATATAGCAGAAAGATACACTCTCCACCCATCTTGTTACATTTGTCAGTCCCGACTCCGAGGCTGTGTGCCCGGGGAAGACACCATCCCTTGGCGCCCCTCTTTGCCTGCCCTTCCCAATGGCCCACCTGTCTGCTGGAGCACACTGGAGAAAAGGCATTGGTACCGCACATGAACACCTTCCGGCCGGAAACAATCAGGACTCGTACATAGTTCTGACACTCCTCCTGAGGTGGGAAGGAAAATGATAGAGGACCACAACTCTGCAGGTGTGGCTCCGGGCGTGTTTACCTCATAGAGTTGCATCGCAGATGCTAATGAATGTCCTCAACATCCCCGCACTGGATCAGTTCTGCTCTGAGGTCCAGCTCCTGTCTCCATTGATTCCCTTTACCCTCACCCCAGGCTTCTGGGGCAAGTGACCTCGTGCTCACAAGGATTCCCCAAGATCTCCTGACCATAAGCTTCCACCAGAGCCCCCGACGCCACCAGCATGTACCTCCGTCTTCCCTTTGCTCTGGCAGGAGCGGCGCGTGTCCTCACTAGAGGCCCACTCTGTAGCCTGTGGGAGGAACAGAGACATCATCTGGTGCACTCCCGACATTGCACTTTAGGGCATAGCGCAGCCAGGGTCTGGGAAGGACGGGGAGCAGGAAATGGTCTTGGAAGCCTGAAGGCTAAGGCGTTCTCTCTCATCATCTGAGATATTTGGGGAGTCAGTCAGAGACTCTCCCAGAAGTCTTTAACTAGTGGGTGGTCCCTCCCTCCACCTAACACTTTCTCTACCTGATTATAATAGAGGAGACCTAGGGGACCCGCTTTTAACTTCATGGACTTCATTAGCCCCACACAGCTTTCGAGAAACTTCTCCCCAGATCAGCAATGAAGCTGAAAGTGGCCAAGAAGTGTTTTCAGACCACCCAGGTCTTGGTGGGAGACAGGAATGTGCCTTCTCGAGGTCCTACAAAGGAGTGGGAGGCTGACCGGGGTGTCTCGTTCTAAAGGCTAGACTGTGTGAAGCTTAGAAATACAAGTTGTAATTTTCCCACTAAAACCCTACAACAAATTATTTTTATCCCTCAAACTCTGTAGACACTGAGGTTCTTGGTGACTGTTGAAGGTGTGTGGTAGGCCATAGGTAGGAGTCTTTATTTCCCATGTCATAGGCTATGTGTGTGTGTGTGTTTGTGCCCCTTAACCCCACTGTCTCCAGGGATGAAGACTTTGTGCCTCAGATGCTCCTCTCATGAAGTCTCTACTTCCCTTCTACTCTGTCTGTCTGTCTGTCTGTCTGTCTGTCTGTCTGTCTCTGTCTGTCTGTCTCTCTCTGAAGCACGAGCTGAGGAGGAACTTGAGCCTTTGATTCCCCAGCCTCTGAGTTCTGAGTTCTGGGGTCACAGTCCAAAAGTGATACCCACTTTGTAGAGAGCTAGGAATCAAACCCAGGCTTTTCTCTATTTCCCTTCTTGATTCCTTTGTGACATCATTCCCATTGGGGCTAAAGGACTGCAGACACAACTTTCCCATGTCCAGGGCAGTAGGAGAGGGCTGTCTCCACCTGGGGTTCCTCCACCATTTATTCTCTCTCCAACTCTGAGGAAGCACTGAAGGGAAGGGTGACACTTCTCACCCAGGCAAAGTTGTCAACAGCCTGATGTATAACATGAACCACTCCACCTGTCCTAGAAGCTCTGAATGAGCACCTTTCCCTCGCTCTCGCGCTCTCTCTCTTTCTCTCCCCCTCCTCCACCTGCACATCAATGCACACTCTGCCTTAATTGCTCACTCAGCTGTTTTGCTAGACAATAGGAAGCAGGGGACAAGGAGGGAGCCACAGGGATGTCTTTTGCTTTTCAGACTGGCACACCCACCTCAACAAAGCATGGCTGCCTAGAGCAGAGAGAGGCTGACACAGCCAGACCCTTGCATCCAGGAGCTAGCCTCCACTAAGCACGCTGGGTCAACACCTCCAGACTACTCTGGAGCTCAGTCCTGCTTCTCAACTTTAAAGACGGGCAGGTGACCTTTTGGGTCAGTGTTCATCTGGATGGAAGTGGCTAAGCATTGTTAATCCCAGGACCCATTAGGTCCCAAGTTGGGCTTCAGAAGAGAGAAGGGGAAATATAAGAGTTCTTGGGGGGTTCTGAGAGCAGGAAAGGCCATTGACCCCCAAACACTGAAACACAAATGATAGGTGACAATAAGCTGCACAAAGCGTTGGGGTTCCTGTGTAGTGCACACTGAAGGGGCCAGCCTGTTCTTAGGAAGGATGTCACCATGGCACAGACATTTGTGAGGGTCATGTGCATGCTCTCTGTGACCTTCAATTGAGAGGGAGAGAACTAAAGCCAGTGAGACTGAACACTCTGATCAAGGTCACAAAGTTAACAAAGAACAATGCAGACCACTGATCCAGGTGCCAAGGAGCCTTCTGACTCCTCTCACGGGAAGCAGATTACATGTAACCCAACGTTACACCATATAGATCAGAGAATAGCATGTTTCTAATGACAGCAGCACAGAAAGGGCTTTCTGGAGTCATTTGTATTGGAAAATTATTTTTTTTGTCAAAATGACACGCAATTTTTAAAAACATAGAAGATGATTAAACAAAACTGCCAGCAACCCTCTCCTACAACAACTACTTCCTAGGTGTAGCTGTTTACTCCCCTATGCCCCAAGACTGGAGACTGCTCAGCAGTTAAGAGCATTTGCTGCTCGTTTGGTTCCCAGCACCCATACTGAGTGGCTCACAATCACCTATAAATACAGTTCCAGGGGATCTGACACCATCTTTTGGTCTCTCTCAGTACCTGCACACACGCACACACACACACACTCAGCTTTAGACAAGAAAAGGCTTTCCAATTTGTTTATCTCCATTTTACCCCAGCCCAGAGAACACCTACAACTCCCTTCGACCAAAATATTGATTCATATTTTAATTAATATGGTTATTATTGGTTATTCACATTGTTGTAACTACATAAAAACTCTCCCCTTCTGCCAGCTAGTGCCTCAGAGTCCCCTGACTGTCAGTCACTGGCTTGTGACACAAACCATGGAAAAAGAAAATGGACTGCCAGTCAATATTTTCATCACCTGAATTTTGAATGTAAACGTATTGGAAGTGCTCTTAGTTAGATGTATCTCTGCCCCATATTGATCTTATATATTAGAAAGAAGAAAAAGATGTCAGTAAATCTGAGTGTCTTTAACCTTCTTACATTCAGGGTGCATCTCTTCCAAATCCTTTTTGCTTGGAGCTGTTGCTGTTCATCTTGTTGCTTTTTGTTCATAGAGAACATCACTCCTGAACTACCCAGGTGTCAGCAAGGAGGGAATTCTCAGAGCGCTTTGTTCTGGTCTGTGGCTTTCTTCCAAGCCACTGATCTGTTCTACAAGTTTGGATGCAGTTCTCTCTTGATCTCAGAAGGTGTCCATGGGTCTTCTGACTGACCAATCCAGACTCACCTTTCTTTCTTTTATGATCTTACAATGACCATTGCATGTCAAACGGGCTACTGTTGTCCAGTGAGAATGGCGTAATGACAATGGGCTCAGGCTATAGCATCAGGACCAAAGTCTGGCCAATAGCAAGATGCTGTCCATTGTGAGACACACTGATTTCAGATGCATTAAACTGTGAAAATGGTTGTCCTAAAGTCAACCCAATATGCATAACCAGAGGCTGTTTCCTTTCTCAAGTGACCATCTCCATTGGTTTCTCACAAATGTCCCAAAAGAAATCTCTCTCTGGATCATTTTCTAACTGTATACACAAGGAACTCTGATAATCTGTTACTTCCCTTGCTCATTGTCATACCCCAACCTCCCAGTGGTCCTGTGACTTGTGGGGCCTCCTGGGGCTAAACCCAGGGACTTGCCTCTCTGCTTCCGGAAGCCATATTGTCTTGATTCAGCTGTTTCCTTTGGTGGTGCACACACATTCCCAGCATCTTTTTTAAGGACCATCATGGATTGATTTTTAAAGTTCATTTATGTCTGATTGATTCTTCCTCAATACTAATTGTTTTCATATGGAATTCTAGTTTGACTATGACCTTCACCCAGTTTTATAAATGTCTATCCATTGTCTTCTCCATTCTGTGATCACTTTTGAAGATTCTGATGTAAGACTTCTTCCCTGTCTTTCAGAAGAACCCCATTTTTTTTATTTGTTTGTTTTTAGTCTCTGGAAGCTTATGCTTTTTTTTTTTTAAATAACAACAGCGATTTTAATTTGATATTAGTAGGGGTCACCTTTGAGAACTTGGTTAACCTTTGACTTGAAGCCTTGGCCTCAGTCTTGGCGAATTCTCTTATGCTATTTTATCCTTTCTTCCTGAGCTTTACTTTGTCTATTTTGGAACATGTATTAAACCAATCTATAGTTGGTCAGCAAGCCTGGATACATTCTCTCGTTACCTGGCATTTCGTTTCCTGGTTTTTCATTTCGTGACTCTAGTGCCCTGAATTTGGTAGACTTTTCTCCAACGTTTGTTTATCTTTGAATCCCTTGATTCTTACTTTCCTAATTGCAGATCTAGTTGTCATACTTTCAACTTACTGCTTCATAAAAATATTTTCATATGTAAGGGGGTACGAATTAGTTTGTAGTTAAATTTAAAGTGTTTTATGTCTCACGTATATTTGCTGCTGCTTGCAGCTTGTTTTATCCTGTATTTATGTTGGTCTTCTCTTTCACTTTAAGGCTTTCCTGAGTTGATGGATTTTGGCTATTTATACACTTTTTTTTTTAAGCCACTAGGCATTTTCCACTGAAAACTGCAAAGACTTCTTAAAGAAATGGCTGGTTCAATCTAGGACAGTAAATGCACAGAGTGAGCCTACAACATCTTGTTATTCTACAATGCTAGGATGCCACACTAACTGGATAGAACTGGACAGAGAGGACCTGGAAGCCAACTTGAAGAGACCTCTCACCTCAACAGATGGGATAGCTATGAAAGATAACAACAACCATGGATTGAAACACATCAGCAAATGTAAATTCATTACTCTGAAAGAGCAGTGAACAGAAGAGGTTGGGAACGGAGCTCACTGGGTAGAAGGCTTGCTTAGTACCCACAAAGCCCTAGGTTTGATCCTTATGAGCTGTGGAATCAACCAGGCATGGAGGTACATATTTATTATCTTAGCACTTGGGAGATGGAAGCAGGAGCTATCCTTGGCTTTACAGTGAGTTCAAGGCCAGGCTGGGATACATGAGACCCTGTTTCAAAAGATAGATAGATAGATAGATAGATAGATAGATAGATAGATAGATAGATAGATAGATAGACCCACTATTGAAAGGCACCAGGAAACCAGATCCTCATTAGAAAACTAGCACATAATAGCAGAATACTGAAAGAATACAGTACATGCCATACCACAGTGTGTCAAGTATATTGATTCAAGTTGAAATCGCTTGAGAAATTGACACTTGAGAAAGGGCCATTGGCTTTACTTTTCCTAAAGGTGGCAATTCATGAAGAATCTTATAGCAAAGGAGCCCTCTCTGACCCAGGATAGGACAGGAGTTTTCATTGCCTGAGA